GTTGGCCCACCGCTGTTTGCTTGGCGCAACCCTGTGTCGGGTACTGTTGATGGACAAAATCCTGCACCACCTCACCACTTTACCCTGGAAGGGTCGCATAGCAACCCCCGTGCCCCCTCATTCAATGTTGGCGCGACCCCTCTGAGGAGGTGGCGCAGGATTTTGGACCTTCAACTTGTTTTTGTTTTCTCACTGTGGTGGCCACAATGTTAACGAGGGAGAACGAGGGCAGCAAGAAAAGTGTGCGCAAAGTGGTGCAGGATTTTGTCCATCAACAGTATGTCACATGTCAGTCACACGATGGTCACATGATATACTGTATTGGTTGACTTTGACTTTGACATTGGCTGAATTTGTGAAGGTATAGCAGTCGGATCCTCTCCAGCGGCGGGAACTGTGGCAGAACACCCGAGAGCGCCGAGTTATTGCAAGCCTTTTGACGCAGTTTGGATGCATTGAATTGAATTATTCTGAATATGTGGTGTGTATACTTGGATTTTGTTTGCGTATCCTCCCAGTTTTGCCCCCTGAGGATCTAGGGGACTTGCGAATTCATCCACAGTTTTGCAAGAACAACGAGTCAACAACCCTCCAAACAAGAATGGGGTCTGAAACGACACCAGCAAATAGACTTGAGCAGGTTCTGGGCCGTAGGGACCCCCCTCGACTCGCAGAACAGCAGTCTTGTGTGTAGTCGGTCGTGTAAGACCGGCAGTACCTTTCATCATTGCACTAGATCTGACATTGACTTGTGAGTGACTCGACTGTGAGTGTAGAACTTGAGGACGCAAGGCAAACACTCGCAGGCTTTCCACAACTTCCCTCTTTGGATTCATGCGATGTGCCGAACATTAACGTATTCCATCAAAGGCCAATCAAAGGCATAAGCAGCATCACAGGCTGGAGGTTGGCCTAGGGTTTATGAAGCCTTAGATGATGTTGGTTGTTGTTTACCTCAAAAAGTTGTCAGGTCCAGACAACACCTCAACAAAGTATTTCACGAGCAAGGGTGGACGGTGGACGGATCCATTTACAGAATCACCAACTGTCTGTATTTGTTTGCTGCCCTGACGTGCACAGCTGTTGCTGCTCCTCCGTCAAAGCGTTCGGCTCCTCATGTGCACCATCACCACCACCTTCATGGCAACCTTCGTTGTCAGAGTCGAGGATGGTAATCATCTGACTGCTGGCAACTTCCTGCGCCAAACAAATAGACAAGCCAACGGCTTCTACAGCGTAAGTGCATGAAACCTTTGTAACATGCAAGTATTTGCATGAAGGGTCATGAATGAATGTAAAAGCACATCAAGTTATATAACATTAAAAATCTATAAAATTCTATAAATATATATAGCCTCCAAATTTTGTAAGACATGTTGCGATACAGGTTTCACCATATGCAGTTGTATCTTTTTCACTATATGGGCTCCTGTGGGTCCAGTGGTGTGTGCGCCGGCTGCGGCACTTCTCCATCAGACGCAGGCTTAAGCTCGGGGTTGGGGTGTTCCGCCTCAATGCCGTTGGCAGCCTTCGCATCCTTAGCAGGCAGCAGACCCCATCCAGAATATTCATCCAGTGTGGTCTGACGAAGGGAACGCTGAAACAGCACTCGTGTGATGACTGGCTGATTGGCAAAAGGTCTGAAACGGCAAGCCGCGAGATCCTCTAACTGGAGTTGGCGTCGGACTCCATCAATTGTGTCAGCAGCAGCGTTGGGCTTGGGAGCTTCTCCGTCCGCAGCCCCAAACACTGGCACTGAAGATGCTCGAGGAAGCGCTGGGAAAGAGCCTTGAGACTCAGCAGGCTCAGCAGGAGTTGAAGGTGGCGGAGGAGGAGGTGATGGAGTTGGATGTGACATCTCAGTCTCAACACTCTCCGGGTTGTCCATATGGGGTATGCCTGACCCAGCGACGTTGGACTCTCCTTTCGCCTGATGTTCACCTCAACCCCCAGATCATGGGCAACCTCCAACAACTCATGGTCCTCCTGCGCATGAAACATTTCAGCGCATGCATCATCATACATCGATCCTCTATACAACCTATGTACCCTTGCATGCCTTTCCATGCTGAACGTTTTCCTATTATACTTTCATTTTAATAGAATGTCTCACTCTTTCAATCTTGTTCACCAAGAAAACATGTTATTAAACATGTTGTGCACGCATGGGTGTATCATGATACTGACGGTAAGCACGCACAGAACATCAAAACTCAGAAGGTTTCAATATCATGACACCAGTCCTCCGAAAGAAATTTGCGATGCAACAATGTGTTCTTCGCGAGACTTAGGAGGCGGCGGCAAGCCCATGCCTCCCAGTACAATGTATCGTAGGAACAAGCGCATTTTGCACATCGATAAAGTGCCCTGACCTCTTCAATCAAGCCGTCGATGCCAGGCAGAAACAGTTTGTTCTCCTTCATGAGATGGAGCAAAGGACGGAGCTGTTCCCGATTCTTCCTCACGTTTTGCAACGTTTTCTCGGGATAAATGTTGGTCAACTTTTCAGTCTCGGGATCCCAATGCATGATCAGGCGACTGTTCATCCGAAGTCGATCTCTGACAGCTTTCAAATTGTCCCACTGAATGTGAAGCCCTTGAAGTGAGTAGGTCCCAACACGGTCGTTCGCCGACGATGTAGCCGCCGGGCGATCAAACAACTCTGCATGGACAAGCGCGTTGTCCACCATGTTTTCCAATCAAAAGGGTCGAAGCGGCTCCAAGCAAATCGCGTTTGTCCCAACAGCAGCTGCGCAGGAGAGGCAGCATCGAGTGAGCTTGGGTGCATGCTGAAATGGTCCAGCCACAAGGATGGTAACAGTTTGCCCAACCCTACCACACAAACATGTGACATGTGCAGAAACCTCATGATGCAGGTGCGCGTGCACAACGCACGCACAAACAACTTGAGTGACTGAAGGATCGATCGCAAATATGTTCGATAAACAAGCCAGGAAATCCTTGTGGGGTCTGCTTGATCAAGAGGCTCGGTCCATGGCACGGTCCATGAGTTGTGGCTGGATCAGGCCACAGTATATTTGATTTCATGTGTATAGTTGCGTGCCATGGGCATGATTGACATACACATGTCACATCTCCGCCCATGTCACTTGACCTTTGGTTGGATCTCCTGAAAAAAAGTGAGATTCCGCATCGTGTCGGCGGGGTCATGGGTTGCAAGTCGAGATCGGCTCGGCTGGTTCCGATATATGAATCGACATTTGCGAACTTCTTGATCCATCCTTCAATAAAGCAGCCGGCGTAGCAGCCAAAGATCAATCATAGAATTCGGGAACAATTCGGGAAACACAATTCGGGAACCCATTCGGGAACCAATTCGAGAACCCCCGATCCTCGAACGGACATTATCGCGGAAAGTGCTAATTAGATCCAGAATGCAAAATCAGAACTGATTCTGAATGCGAGTTATAATTTCAACATACTCGGTGTTCCAGGTATATATGCTATATAAATATATACTGTAGATCTTCTGCTGATTTTGTCCAAGAGTCCAGAGACACACATCGAAAGTGATCGCTCCTTTCATATCTCCTCAGCAGTTACTGCTTGTCTTTGGCCTCGCGCTCAGATTCACTTCGCTGATTGCTGATGTAAGTTAAAGAGATTGATCCGTGAAATCAATTCATGACCCTGGATACCAAGCAACCATAAGCAACCTCAATCAACCTCAAATATAAAGATCGCCAAGGAGTTCTTACTTTCCGCCGAGTTTTTTTGAGCCAGTCATGGATGTTTTCCTCCTCTCCAACACAGATGACAAACACGTTGTCAAGGTCAAATTGAAAATTTGACTTCCTTCAGTGCAAGCGCCTGAGGCAGATTCAACTGCTTTGCCATGCTGCGCGTAGTAGGCAGCGAAATTGCTTTCCTGTAAACTAGAGCATTTGGAGCCCAGGATATGTTTTGCATAGTCAAAACAATGCATTCAGCGTCATTCAACATTTACCTCCCGAGCGGCAATTGCTCATTCAAGCAGGGCTTCTTGCCCTGGCATCGCTGGTGGTGGCAAAGCCGAAAGCAGGTAAAGGAAGCATGTGACTGTCGCGACCACCTTTGCTTTGTTGTACAAACAAGAACAACAAAGTTGTATATTATTTTTATACTGCTTTGTTGCCCTTGTTACCTAGTAGCGGTACCCTTGTTACTACTAGCGATGCCTCTTCTACTGTTATATGTAAATAGGCCTTAAGGCCTTGAATCTAGAAATGTTTCAAAGACCTGCATTGTGAGGCAACAGCCCCCAGGAGCTCAGTGACATTGCCGACAGGCTGAAAGATGCCAAAGGCCTCAGCTATTGTGTGTATTGGTGGTTCCTGGCTTTATGCCCTTTCATTATGCAATAGACAGAAAAGCATATGTTTGGTATTTGCATATTCTGTTTTTCTGATCCGAGGGGGGTGGTAATAACGAATATTGCATAACACGTACTGAGCCTGTGAAAGGGTCTAGTACACAGCAGCTGCCTTTCACTTCTAGATTGAATTCGACTTCTTGGAAGATTCACACTAGCGTGTTGACCGCGGAGTGGCTGGAGTACTAGCAGCAACATATAGCCAACATCCCTTGATCACCATCAAGGGATGGGTGTTGGATGACATTGGATGCGTCCCAGTGCGCCAGATGACCCCGAGAAGGCGAAGCAGGCTTTGAACATGATGGACCCGGATAGCTTAGGCATCATGGCGGCAGACCTTAGAAATCTATCGTCGAATTCTTTTTACCATTTGTTTGGTATATAAACAAAGTTAGATATAGTTATAGGTAAATACACAGTTACATACATATGTACACATCCCGACGGGTTTCGATAAGGCAGAGGAGTTTTGTGGATCTGGAGGGCATTTTTTGTTGGTTTTTGACACTTTGTTAATGTTGTCTTATTCCTTTGCGTGTTTTATTTTTCTGTTTGTAGGTGTTCAGATATTTTTCCTCATCACCGTGGTAAGTTGACGAACACAAAATATCTATCCTATCCACTGATCCAATGTAAATGGATTATTGGTCTCCCACAACCACTTCAAAGACTACAAACTCAGGCCAGCCAGTATCAGCAAGGCGCAACAGCAACGTGTAAGACAAAGAACAGCGACCACAAACATTTGAGTATTTGTCATTTACGAACACATTTGACTGGGATGTTGATTTTTTAGACATACTGTACATACATAACTGATCGAATCATAACTGGATATACAATATGCGTGCCTGTTTAAACATGCAGATGGGAATGCTACATGCAAATAATCCGCCGGGCCCACACCTCTAACACACCCACACCAACACCGCCACCAAAACTGTGTGTACCACGGACACAATCCTTGGACGCAGGCTTTGTTCCTATCACAGCGTCCTAGCTTTACATCCTCATACACATTGACATCGTGCACTCCTGCCTCGACGCTAATCCCCCCACTCATAAGTGGCATCAACCACGCAACAGCAAAACTGCAACAGATAGCATTGATATCATCCCTTTTGCTTGCTCGCAACAACATATATTTTGCCCGGACAATTGTACAACAACATATAATTTGCACAAACGTAGGGGACTCATGGAATTTACACGAACTTTGGAATTGCCATGCCGTCCGTGAATCGGTACACCACTGGCAACCACGTGCAAATGAACAAAGCGAAGCGAACAGGGGCTCAATTGCGCAATGGGCTTCCCCACCACGAAACACTGCAAAACACACGCAACATGGAGACGGCTTCAATTATAATCAAAATTGTCCGCTGTCACCGCTGCCTTAGGCAAACAGGTCAGGTCTGCATAATTCTGCATCTGTATATTATATATCTAATCATATATTACATAATTGCTATTAGTATTATATATTTCTATTACTTTGTGGTTGCATGACAGGCGGGACAGACACGTTGTTTACTTCTTTAGATTCTGGTGTCGACATGATTTTGCAAGGTGACTCCATGGCAAACATGATGGTTATGGCCATGGACAAGGACACTGGTGTTTTTTTTCTGCAGATTCCAGATGGGGAGCCAGGTATGGGTGCAACGAAGCGGAGAGATACGACGTAGGATATGTACTGGGGAGTTCTCTTGAACAATCAGCATGATTAATCTCAAGGAAATAGCGCAAGGCGTGCCACGCAATAGAAAGTATACTCAAAGGGGTGCTTCCGGAGCACTTCTTTCAGAGTCACAAAGGACCAAGATGGCATCCTCACGAAGGAGGAGATCAACAGCATTCCCATGCCGGAGGATGACGGAACGAAAGGCAAGTCCCAGGACGATTTGCAGATTGTTTCTTTGTCGGACGGCTCGTTGCCTTTTGACACAGGATGACTCTGGCCAAAATTCATGTATGCTACCCGCGGCCATGCTGGTTTCTTGTATATATTCAATTTTGCAGTGTTTCATGGACCAGTCTTACATCCTTTTAAAGGGACAAGACATTTTGCCGACTTATACAATGAGCCAAAGATACAGACCTGAGGACTATACAGTATTTTTCATTAATGTATCAAGCTTTGGTGGCTGGCAACATTTGATGATGATCGCAGCAGACAGATTCGGACTAACTTGTGGCCAAACATGCACGTTTCACGTTCCACGACTGGGCTAGTTTTGAGGAGATGTTCAACAACATGGACGCAGATGGGGATGGCATAGTGACCAGATTCTTGCAAGGGGACAGATTTGGCGGCGACCAATTACTCAGAAGGTGTTCAACGGACATAACCCATCCACCAAGTGGTCACATTGGACCACATGTGACAAGTGCTTTTGTAAGGACTAAGAAGAGGATCTGAAAAATTAAGGCCGAAGCGGATTGGGACTGTCGTGCAACAAAGTTGTGGAAGGCTTTCCTAGAGAATCACAGTGACCTCTGACCAAGGAGCAGAAGCAAAGGCCTACTTTGCCCAACTTGGCGCCTTGAGTGCAACAGAATCAAGTCGGAGGGTATCTGAGCGAGCGCGTGTTTTTGTTTGAATGCAGGTATTCTGGAAGCTGAAGTTTTGCGCCAAGTGTCCAGAAAGAAGTTTGTGCTTTTGGGAACAAAACGGGCTCCAGTGCTTTTAAACATGTTTGGGTAGGTGTGCTAGTGCTAGCCATTCGTGCCCAATTCTTGGCTGGCGCTGTACTCGTACATTGTTCTTCCTAGATCTTCCTAGATTAAATCAGAATCGTGCCAATTGAGTCCATTGTCAAGATCCCAGCATGACAGACCTGTTGTTTTGGTTACCTACCAGCTCATTCTGTGCTGAGCATCATCGGTCTCCCTTCAGGTAACACCCTCAAGGGCCTGGGCGGCATGATGGTTGGTTCCAAGAAGAAAACCGACCTCTGAGAGCATCTCACGGTGCGGAGAGCTGCAGAGAATCACTGTCGGAAGCTGCATCTCATAATCACATTGTGACACACAAGCGACGTGAGTGCGGGTCAAAGGTCAACGACCACTTGTTGACGCTAGGTCAATGGCTTGATGCTTCAAAAGGGCTCGTTTTCATTTTACAACTAGCCGCAAAGCTCTTCGTGCAGATCTTGATCCCTGAGAGAGGGTTGCAAAGCCAATCACCAAATCGATCTTCCCACGTTTGTGACGTTTTTGGGAACCCGAGGGAGTGTATATAGTGGCACCCTCAGGACTTTCAAGCTTCTCAGACTCCTTTTGGACAAATTGAAGAATTACAAAGTGCGCATTTGCGCTTGCTGCTTTGCACAGTGTGGGAGTCTTGAAGGTAGTTTTGTATCGATCAAATGCAGTCAGTCATAGAGCCTGCGACAGACTGGATCTTTTTCCCAGAAATGAGTGCGACAGATTGGTTGTCTTCGAAAACGATGATGGCAGTGACAACGTTAGTTGCTTTGCATATGTGAGTTACGTTAATTAGCCTGCTGCTAATAGTGAGTGAGACCGAAAGGAGTAACATGCCAATTGCCATTGAACGCTCCTAAAGCCCAACTTTGGATGCTCCCGGGAGGACTTGACGGCGCTTTATGACAAGCAAGTCTTGGTATTGAGGCTTCCAGGGGGACAGACCTGGTATGGCAGGATATTCAATAGTTCATGAATCAGCTTCCCGGACTAGTTGCAAGTCTGCTTGTTTTTAAACAACCAATGTGTCGATTTTCCATGGTGAGAACATGCAGCAATATAGAGAAGGCAAGAACCCACCGGTTGTTTGGGTTCCAAATGACTAAACCTCACAGCGTTCTAGATTCTAGTATAGTGTTGCTATTGCAGGGTATCCAACGAGGATCAATTTCACAGTGGGACACACACACACACACACACACGAGAGCGTCGCATTATGTAATAGAGGTTGACACCGTTCTTTCTATTGCTGTAGCATTGTTTGGCAGCTTAGTGGACTCAGAAAAGTCAAATTTGGTTGAACTGGACAAGATACTGATTGGCTTCTTCAATGATATACTCTTTGGGCAAGATCAAGTCAGCTCCAAGACAAATTCTTCTTGGTCGCCACGTGTGTTGCAACGACGATAAGTACAGGCACATCTCTGGCGAAGTTATGTTCCTCCCACTGCCACCAGCATATATATCCTACGCTGTGTGCTGCGCATCTTCGCTGCACAAAAGGTGTTGCTTCTTCAGAAAAGAGTCGTCAGATGCAATGTGTCCAGAATCAACGGTTCTTTTTTTGATGTGCCTCAGATTTGCGCAAATCAAAACCTGTTCCATGGATAGTAGTGGCTCAAAGAGTGGGCAGGTGGATACTGGGAAATCCTGAAGATTGTTTTCGGCGTGGTTATGGGTTGCAGGATCTAGCAGAGTGAGTTCCAAGCACCATGTTTAACGAACCACGCGTATTGCGATGTTTGGCGGCAAACGCTGATGGCCAGATTTCGATGGGGACCTGCGAAAAATAAACATGTGAACTCCACACAAGAGCAGACGGTCGGCTATCACACGGCGATCAGGTCGCAGAACGCATGGAGAGCCCCGATGTTTCCTTTTCTGGTCACACCCTTATGAACAAACAGGTGAATTGCCAACGCTTTCCACCAGGTTCTTTCGATCATTTAACATGGCAATCTTGTGACACTCTTCCTTTTATCGAAAACGCGGTGCCTCGCGCCTGCTGCCGTGGAGGCATGGCGGAGGCATGGTCAACAATGGAATGGACGAATCAAAGAAAAAAACATGAGGTATACAGTGGTGGAGAATTCTAATGGGTTTGTCACAGTCGATTTTTCGGTAGCTTTCTTGAGGCACTGTCAATGCAGAACAGAGCATGGGAGCTTGCTTAGGCTTTGTTTCTTTTACAGTGTTGTCTGGCATGGCCAAACGTGTGATCTGGCTGCTGGCTGAATTTTTGATCTTATTCTAGGAAGGAGTGCCGCATGTTTCGAAATAACTGTAGACTCTAGTGCCAGCACGCGGGAGAGAGTTGATTTGGAGATGAGAAGGAACCTTAGACCAACCAGGAGTGCTTGGTATCAAATGTTCCATCAATGTCATGATATTTTTTCTTGTGTCCTTCGGCTCCCAAATCCGGGGGGTTGGGGGGTTGCCATGGAAACCATCACAGGTCCGTGACAAGAGGTCAGAAACGGACTCCGTGGACAGGGTCGGAGTCTCCCAGTCTTGAGCTACACACCCAGTTCAAGAGAGTCTATTTCAACGTACCTGACTTGCAGATCGGCTTCCCACACGCTAGTTCACCATCATCGCTTGTAGTGGCCGCCTCCATGGCGAGTGGCTGAGAGAATCACTGGCAAATCATACAACTATACAGTATCACTTCACTATCACCCAGTGCAACAATAAAAAATCCTGCAAACACAAGATAAAACACAATTCCTTGACAGCACTTTGAACAATTTTTCACGAGACGTCCCCAGAGAGCAGCGAAGTCGGACACATCGACCTAAAGAAAACTTCCTTCCCAGCTGGTTGTAAGGGTCGATCAACTCTGCGAGAAGGTTTTTTTCACGCCGCTTGAGAAATCACTCTCCCAACCACAAGGCCCAAAGCCCAACGGGAAGAATGCGGGAGGGTCGATGATCCCGTCTTCAGGGCGTGGAGATGTCCCCTGAGGACAGTTTTTTGGCTGGTTTTCGAGATGGATCTGGACGGAGTATATCGTCGATGATTTCTTAACTTTCGGAGTGTTTTTTTCTCGTCGATCTCATTTATTTGAGATGAACAACTGCCGACTCGAAGAATGGGGGCGGCTGACGTGGGAAACCGGTTCACTGTGCAGAACGAGTGAGTCCTGAAGAGAAATGGCTGAGTCTCTTCGAAACCGATGGATTCTGTTGAGGCAGATGGATTCTCGTTCCGAGGCGCCAGACATAGGGAGACTCGTCTCCCTATGTCTCGACCCTCGGGGTTCGGTGAACTGGAAAATACAATGGCGTCCATCCATGGATTGGGGCATCTCCCTATTCAAGAAGTAACACCTGTGTTGATTTTACAGGTTGCAGCTTCTCTCTCAATAGCTACTAGCGTCGCTAGAGGTTTCTACCTTGCGCAGGATCAAGCCGCCGCCGAAGTCGCCGATCTGTGGCGGGCTGCGCCGGGCCAGGAGGCGACGGAGTCGCCGATCAGCGCTTTTTCCTCGCCGCCGGACGTGTTGAGTTGTGTTGAACGACTCGTCGTGCTTTGAAGCTTTTTTTTTGACGACGTTGTTTTACACTTGACTCACTTGTCGTTTGAGGTCTTGTTGTTTGAGACTTGTTGGGTTGATCCAGAGAAAAATCCCTTCGTCTTTTTCCGAAGAACTTTGGGGTAGTATTGAAGTCATTAGCCTTCATGTTTGATTTTGGTTCAGTTAGAGCCAATGGTTCTACCATACGATCTATTTCCCTGCTCTTTCCTTGAGGATTGACCCTGGAGCCAGAAAGAAGCAGTTTTGGTCCCACCATCTAAGTCGGCACGGATGGCTTCGTCCTTCTTTGTTCATCATATTTTCCTTTTGATGTTTTGATGCAACACCTGGAGCCCCAGTCCACGTAGCTTGACCATTGACCTGCCAGGTAGGTCTATCAAGGTATCCTGGTTTTGATCCACAGCCATTTTCGAGGGTTCTCCAAGAATCTCAAGTTCCCAGCTTTGAGGACTCAGGGACTCACAGAATAAACGTGTTGAGCGCCTTGAAAGCGTCCTAGAGTCCTAGATCTATTCAGTGCCGTAGTCGACAGGTTCGCCTTCAGATATTGCAGGGGAAAGCAGTGAATCCATGTAAAACGAAAGCGAAACCATCCACAATCAGCTGAAGGGCTGGGTTGGTCCGTTGCCAGGTCGATTCCGCTGTGATTTGGCTTCATCACCAAGGTGAATCGGAGGCGAGAGAGTGAAGATGGAGATCATCCCAACAGACACATGGAAAGAGTTAGGAACATGACACACTTGGGAAGACGAGGAGTATTCTGTAGATGCAATTGATTCCCGTGTGTGTTTGTTTGTGTGTGTGTGTGAAACCCTTGGAGTCACAGGGAATCTGTTGATTTTCATGTCAATAGCAGAAAAACCTGTGAGCGATGGTCCAACGAAGCGGCCACAGTACATGCGGATATAACGCCTGATCACCGTTCCGTACCTGCTAATTTGAACTGATGTCCAAGCTTTTACTCCACTCTTCAAGAGCTAATGCATTCTGCAGATGTGCATGTTCCTCGTCAACCAGTCGTTTCGCAACTTTGGTGGGCCTCTCTCTTTCTTTGGTTGGATCTCCAGGATGCCCAGCCCCATTACATGACTTTCTCAGGAATATGATTGCCTAGGTCGCCGTGTGGCATGTGGCATTCAATTTCCGTACGCGTTTCCCAAGTGTGTGTATGTGTGTGTAACCCTTGGAATCATAGGGATCCTTTTGGATTTTCAGGTTTGCTTTTCCAGTTTAGCAGGGGGTCCAGGCAGTTGTGAGTTGTCCCTGGACCAACGAAGACGGACTCACAACTGGTGAAGCGAGAAGGGACGCCTTCTTGTGTACCTGCAATTTTCCACTTGTCGAATGGCGAGAGGCTAAGCCAAGAACCTCACTGCCAAGAACCTCACTGACACGGAACGCCGTCAACTTGTCGTCTCGTCGGTTCGTGGCCTTTAACTACAGGAACTCTGATCCCCTTCACCTGGTTTTTCAGGATTTGGGTCTCTTAGGCCGGCGTGTGGCACCGCTATCAAGTCAGCACGCATATCCATGAGTGTGTTTGGCCTCGTGCCAACCCGGGATGAGCCCGCAGAGTGCCTCCCGTGGACCCGTCGAACGGGTGTAGGTCGTTATCTCCTTTGCCTGGAGATGTACGTGTCCGCAGCGGACAGTAGCTGGCTCATGCCACAAGAACTCAAATTTGTCCCATCTTTGGAATTCCAAGCTGGCTCACGCCTCTACGTGACCGCAGCGGTCAAAGCAGCCAGCCATTTCGGCAGGGCACAAGGTGACCACAGCGGTCAAAGCAAGTTTAAGGTCCATTGCGACCTGTTGGAGCCTTAGTATCTCAGTTGATTCCTCCTTCTCCGCTCCCCGCTCCTCTTTGGTGTGTCCCTGGACGCTTGTTTCGTAGCTGGGAGCACCTCTCTCTCTCTCTCTCCTTTTCTTGACGGGTGTGTCCTTGGACGCTTGAGTGGTAGCTGGGAACACCATCGGCTCATTCCTTTTCTCGTTTGGTGTGTCCTTGGACGCTGGGCTCGTAGCTGGGAGCACCTCTCTCACTCTCTCTCTCTCTCTCTTTCTCCCTCTCCCTCTCGCTCTCTCTCTCTCTCTCTCTCACTCTCTCTCTCTCTCTCCCCTCCCTCTCCCTGCGCCTCCCGCCGCTATGCAGCTCTCTCCTACCGGCCTCGCCGCCTACACCTTGCCACACACAGGCCTTTCCTTTCCCTTCCTTACGCCGGGGTCTACACCCTACCGGATAACAGCGTGCAGGGGTTCAGTGTGCAGCTGGCAACCGCACCAACCATCCTCCTCCAGTTTACAAGAAACGGTCACTTCTTTTCCGTTTCTTGTTCTTCGTCTTCCTGCGCCTCCACACACCTTTCCTGTCCCTTCCCTACGCCGGGGTTTACACCCTACTGGATAACCGCGTGCAGGGGTGCCTGGGCCAACCATCCTCACTGAAATCTCACCCCACCTTTGGCGCGGAGCTTAACATCTTGCCTCCCTTCGGGGAGGCGTGTGTGTGTAACCCTTGGAATCATAGGGATCCTTTTGGATTTTCAGGTTTGCTTTTCCAGTTTAGCAGGGGGTCCAGGCAGTTGTGAGTTGTCCCTGGACCAACGAAGACGGACTCACAACTGGTGAAGCGAGAAGGGACGCCTTCTTGTGTACCTGCAATTTTCCATTTGTCGAATGGCGAGAGGCTAAGCCAAGAACCTCACTGCCAAGAACCTCACTGACACGGAACGCCGTCAACTTGTCGTCTCGTCGGTTCGTGGCCTTTAACTACAGGAACTCTGATCCCCTTCACCTGGTTTTTCAGGATTTGGGTCTCTTAGGCCGGCGTGTGGCACCGCTATCAAGTCAGCACGCATATCCATGAGTGTGTGGGTACATTGGAACCACAGGTCACCCATGTGCGATATCACCAACCTTGACCGACGAAGCTGGGTGATATCGCGGGGTGTGGGACCTGGCCAGTCCCACGTACCTGCATCGGTTTGGGAATGTTGTAAGTTGTAACTACCTACCGAGGAGTCATGGAGGTACAAAGCTGTTTAGGTTTTCAGGCTTGCAGTCATGCTTGTGTGTTAATGTTCAGTTTGCATGCGTAGACCCACTTGCACTTGCCTGTGTCAAGCTAAATGTGCAGTTTGTATGCAGTGAACCTACTTGCACTTGCTTGTGTGTGACTGTATTACTTACTTGCTTGCAGTCAACCTACTAGCGATGGCCTCCAAGACCTCCGACCTAAATGCGATGGCCTCTAACCTAACCCGTCTGTATAATCTGATTGCGATGCGAGCTTGAACCAAATCGTTGCGTATGCAGCTAACCTACTAGCGATGGCCTCCAACCCTTTGCGATGACCTCCCATCTAGATGCGATGGCCTCCAACCTTGACCTAGTGGCCCCTAACCTACTCCACCCTACTTTAGCCTGGAACTCTTAATGTTGGATCCTGATTAGTAAAGGGCCCCCCCCCGCCTCCCTCAAACAAATAGGAGATCATCTATAACAAACTTTCACCAAGACAAATCTGGGTTCCTGTGAGGATTCCTTTTTGTAATTGATTGTAGTATTCTTTTCCTTTCTAAAATTCTTTGTCATTAGATATTCTTTGCAATCGTTTATATACTACTACATAAAGGATTGATTAAGGAATTGACGGCTTTGAGAAGCTGTGAGTTTTGAAGAAGAACTTGAGAAATCCATACTTATCAATACTCTCAGCAAGCCAACGCGACAAAGGATTGATTAAACACTTACTATTTCTTTTTTTCTTCAGGAAAAAACTTTGCACGATTGAGGACCCTTAAAACAAATTCATTGTTGAGGATCACGGGCCTTCCTGGTCTACTACCTTGAAAATTTGTTTCGGAGCAGTGTTCACATAAAGGATTGCATTAGTAATTGGTGGGTTTGGAAAGCTGTCAGCTTTGAAGAAAACCTAGAGAAACCTATGCCAGCTAATGAATCATAATCATTGGCCTCAGGAGCTAAGTAAAGGAAGATTCCATGAGCAGATCTATTTTTCCAGTGGAAAAAACTTTTCACAATTGATGATCAGGTGCCTTCCTGGTCTACTACCTTGAAAATTTGCATTTGTTTAGGAGCAATGTTCACATAAAGGATTGCATTAGGAAGTGGTGGGTTTGGAAAGCTGTCAGTTGTGAAGAAATCCTAGAGAAACCTGTATCAGCTAATGAATCATAATCATTGGCCTTAGGAGCTAAGTAAAGGAAGATTCCATGAGCAGATCTATTTTTCCAATGGAAAACTTTTCTTATCTGCTTGCCTGGGAAGGGAGGGGGGAGTGCAGGTGGACAGGGTTCAGAAGGAATTCAAACCCTTATTAGGTGTCCAATATAAAAATTAGGGCCCCCCCAAAAATTAGCATTACTCATGACCACTTTTTTCAATCATGCGGTCTTAGCATTCTTGAAGACCGGTTTACTACTCAACATCCAACATTAGGCTTTCATACCCAGGTGGGCGCGTGGAATGTGGCGTTGGAGTGTGTCTGGCCCTTGTGCCAGCCCAGGGTGAGCTCGAAGAGTGCCTGTGGCCCCGTCGAACGGGGGTTTGTCTATGTTCCTTGGCCTGGGAACGGAGGTGTCCAGGAGGCTTATGTTATAGTTTCGCCAAGACTTGCTGAATGATTGAAACTGAGTAGGCCGCTTTCAAGCATGCCATAACGTGCAGGCTCGCGACCAAAGCTTGTTCAAGACCCTAGTTTCATGCTTCCCCCTCCTCTCTCCCCCCGCTCCCTCACCCAACACCCAGGAACAAACCACCCCTCTCCACGATGTGTCCCTGGACGCCTGTGTCGTAGCTGGGAGCACTCGCCTCCTCTTTCCCTCTTACTTTTCCTTCTTTCCTTCCTTTTTCCTTGCCTTCTCTTGGGCATCCCTGCCACCACCTCCTCTCGACTCCACTGGCGCCGTACCTGATCCACCCCGCCCACCGCCACACTTTCCCTGTTTGGCTCCACCAGCAGCGCGCCCCTTCTTTCTACTCGCCAACGCCTTTCACTCCGACATAACACCGCCTGCCACCATTCCTCCACGCACAACCTCTCACACCACCACCGTGCTTGCGACCATCCTCGAGACCACGCCCATGATCGCCATCGCGATCGTGACCGAGTCCATTCTCATGATCGTGCGCACAGTCACCATGGCCGAGACTGCAGTCCAGACCGTTTGCGTCATCCTCGTGAACGCAGTCGCCATCGTCGTCATCGAGCTCGTCGACGTGATCGCTCCCCTTCACCGGCGCACCTATCGTTCTCCATCGCCAGCTACACGCTCTGCCGCTCCTCCACGTTTGAAAGGCCCACAAGCGCTGCAGCTACACCAACATCTTGCTCCCACCAATGCACCGCCAGCGGATCCACAAGCCTTTCCGCCCACGCCGCCCAGTCTCACCGGCACCTTCTGTCACGCCGAAGCTCAAGAACTTCAACTCCTTCATCACCAATTCCATCAACAACAACAAATTCCTTGCCCAGCAATTTCAACATCAATTCTTCCAGCCCTTTCCCGTGATGAACGCCACCGGCTTCGACTTTCACTTCGCAACCCAAGGCCAACCCACGATGGTCTCCACTCCCAATTCCACCGCTGCCCCCACCCCAAACACCAAACACCGCTTCTCCTCGCCCTGCTCGCCCTCCACGAGCCCGACCACCAGCGCACCTCGCCGCCTACCACCTTCTGCGAGCACGTGGGAGTGTTGCTGCCCAACTCCCCGCCACTGCCGCGGAGCTCCTCGGAGTGGCTCAGCCACCCCGTTGAACCTCAGATGGACCGATGACCCCTTTATCACATTTGAGCGATCTCATTGAGGTCCGCCTGACGGCATTACATGTGGACCACTCCCTTTTGGATCAAGGCCACGAGGATCTTTGCCGCGCTTTGGCCAACCATCGCTTTGAAGATTGGATGTCAGTCCTGCGCCTGATTATCTCCTCTCCCCGCAGCCATTCTGGTTCAACCCATGTGCTTCTATTCTTTACGATCTTGTGATTCCCTGCCACTGTGATGACCTCCTCCCCCGGTCTTCGCTTGCCCGACCCGCTCTACAGGACCATCTACGGCGCAAGTCTCCCTTATGGTCGACGTCAGGAAGTACCGATTCATATTTTGACCGTCCGGTTCGACCTCGACACCAGCCTTCTGGTCCACAACCCTTGAACTACATCCATGTCATCCTTTCCGCTGCCGGCCGGGACGGCAAGGAGTACACTGTTGATGATCTCAAGGATGTGATCTACTCTCGCCTTGGCGTTCCCCCGTTGGCTCTCCCTTCGACAGGTGACTCTTGAGTTCGGGAAGCTCCCTACACTTTCTCCTTATAGGTCTTGGTCATGCATTTTGTGAACGTCCGACGCGTCCCATTGGCTACACTGATGAATATCCCAGAGCCCACGCGCCTATAGTTTCGGCCCTCTTCCACGACCTTCTCGCCTTGATGCTGCTGGTCAACTTCGAGTTCCTTTGACTGCTTACCCCAACCAGATCACTCCTGAGCGTCTGGCACTCTGCCTCCCTCAACGCGAGGCGTGTGTTGAAAGGTTGGGGTCACAGGGAATCCGTTGATTTGTTTTTGTGTTTTGATCCTTTTTGACAGCAGGGCGCATGGCAGCTGTTTCCCTAGCCATGCCAACGAAGCTATGGGACTCAGACAGAAGGGAATGTGGACGCACTTTCCTGTACCTGCAGTGTTGACTTCTTACTCCCTGCTTGGTCCGGTTCATAGCTGGAACAAGATTACAGCGGTTCCTCATCTTATGCCTTGAGCTTTGACTTGGCTTTGCTCACCCTGGTTCCTTAGGTTTTACTTAGGCCGGCGGTCTGTGCATTTTCTTGTGTGTGTGTCAGCCCCCGTTCCAAGGGACACTTACCTACTTTTCTCTACACTATTTAGCTGAGCTTGACCATGTACAGTTGCAGGGGGGCAGTGGACCACTATCACTCACTGCCCAACGAAGACAGTGATAGTTTGGTCGTGATATCCAGAAAGGACGCTTTCTGGACGTACCTGCACCAATTGTTTAACATATCATAAAGAGCTAACGCAATTGTTCAAACATTCGGTTGTGCTGACTTTTCACTCTTACGGTTCTGCAAGTCAAGCGCTAAGTATTCACATAAAGTGCCAATGCTCTTCTAAAGAGGTAATGCGTTTGTTCAAACATTCAATTGCGCTGACCTTTCACTGTTATGGTTTTCCAAGTCAAGAGCTAAGTATTCACATAAAGTGCTAATGCTCACCGCGAATTGTCTGAAGCCAAGCTCGGCAGAGCACTCATCTCAAGTGTGATTCGCAGCTTCTTCTCACTGTGGTAAGCTGTGTGAACCCTACGGGGCGCCGTTACCGAGTTGAATTTCCTCTCCCTTTCATAGGAGTATTGCATTGAATTTTTCTGCTGAATCTTTCTGCTGAATTTTGATGCTCGAAGTGTGATTGACGGAAATGTTTCACACAGTACGCGCGCAGGATCGCTGCAGAGCTTACTGACATCTACTCTGAACTAAGCTGCAGAGCTCACTGAATCTGTTTCACCACGGAAGCTTTCCAAGTTTTAATTAGACAGCTAAGTATTCTTAGGTTCCGCTAAGTATTCATTTTATATGCGCCGATTTCGGCTTCTCGGCCAGTGCCTATGGGCCCGTGCCTTTTGCTCGCAAGAGCATCCACCCCACCACACCCCGTGCACCTTTTCTTGTTCTTCCTTGCCTTTTCGTTTGTCTTGTTCCTTCCTTCAGGCTTGTTAGGTGAGATCCAGGCTCGTTTAGTCAACGCACGCCCTGCACCTTTCTCTTCTTTCCTTGCTTTTTCGTTTGTCTTGTTCTTTTCTTCAGGCTTGTTAGGTGGCATCCAGGCTCGTTTAGTCAACGCACTCCACACCCCTGGCAAAAAAGAAAAAGGAAAATAACAAGAAAAAGAAAGAATAAGCATGAAAAGCACACTTTGTGCTGCAGCGTTGCGGCTTTCCAGAAAAAGCGCTTGCATTGAGTCTTCCTAGATGCGCCGTTTCGGCTTCTTGTGTGTGTCAACCCCCGTTCCAAGGGACACTTACCTACTTTGCTCTACACTATTTAGCTGAGCTTGACCATGTACAGTTGCAGGGGGGCAGTGGACCACTATCACTCACTGCCCAACGAAGACAGTGATATCCAGAAAGGACGCTTTCTGGACGTACCTGCACCAATTGTTTAACATATCATAAAGAGCTAACACAATTGTTCAAACATTCGGTTGTGCTGACTTTTCGCTTTTACTGTTCTGCAAGTCAAGCGCTAAGTATTCACATAAAGTTCTAATGCTCTTCTAAAGAGGTAACGGGTTTGTTCAAACATTCAGTTGCGCTGACCTTTCACTGTTACGGTTTTGCAAGTCAAGAGCTAAGTATTCACATAAAGTGCTAATGCTCACCGCGAATTGTCTGAAACCAAGCGCGGCAGAGCATTCATCTCAAGTGTAAGTGTGTGTGTGTGTGTCTCCGCACGGCCATTATGAGTGTACCAGGGAGAAGATAGTGAGTTTTCGTGTGTGGGTCTGATGCTTTGCCTTTGATTAAAAAGCAGCTACAGCTGTGAACACAACCAGGGGTGCTTGGCCAAATGGGTAGATCGCTTGCATTGGCTTGCCTGATCCCGTCCCATCAACTCCACATTCCTTACCATTTTGTTCACTTGAAAACGTGTGGCTACACTCCTGCAATCATCATGGACGTGGAAAATTATTTCTTGGATGGCCATGATCCGCTTTCCTCTACAAACAGTTTGTGCCATCCACTTCCACCATGATCATTGTATAGTCTACTGTATAGTGGAAAACTCTCTACCACAGGGAACTCCACATCGGGTGTACAGCGACTGATCCCACCTATCCACAGATCCGGCGACCTATCACCCGTCGGATCGACGTATCGCCCGACCGAACCCGACCGAGCACCGCCAGGCGATCCAGCAGATGATGTTCAACGACTTCACGATACCCAATGCGGGTCGTGTACGTTGGCTTTGGCCCCTTGGTTGAAAAACCGGACAAACCGGGGGGCCCAAAACAACAGCTGGGCTGGCGGAGCGGTTCAAATCTGACCCCGGAAGATGGTTTTTGTTCTATTTTTTGTGATGTACCAACCCAACTCCAGAATTGCTTCACTGCTTCACGAATGACATTCTATTCTACATCTGTTTATACTCCATACCTGGAACCTTTAGCTCTGCAATCTGATTTTTGTCGCGTATTCTATGATGGCTTTGCGTTTCAATGCCAAATTGGAAGACCCTGCAGGCTACTGTGGCACTGTGGCGGCACTTCAGTTGCTGTGCCGACATAAAATCTGTTCACCACGGCCCCACATGTCCGATCTTTGGAGACCGTCACAGTGGTTTCGAGGCCGCGAGCTCCCTTGCAGCCCTCCAGCATTCGAGGGCATTCCTTGGTTTTGCAGTGGTTTGACGTGAAGGCGGGTACACTGTCGAGAAAAATCGGCCTTCAGGACACTTTTTTCTCCCCATTGAAGTTCGAAGATTCTCTGCCTTCACCCGAAAAAGGCGCCACCGAGACCCCAACCGCGACCACCCCGCGCCAGCGCCGAGAGGAGTACCCCATTTGCCGCACCGTGCGCGGGGTGCCCGATCGACCACGCAAGGGCGAGGCGGGGGCGGTTCGGTTCGGCGGTGTGCAAGCGCTGGAGTGGTAGAGGGCACGTCAGCGGGGGCGTGTGGATGAGCATGTGGATGAAGCTCCTATAGAAGAACATTGCATGATTATTGGGATGTGAAGAATGAGGGATTTGATACAGAACCACCTAAGAGTTGAATCGAACCTTGAAACGGAAAGGGTTTGTTGTGGTTCAGGATTTGGAGGCCACTCTGTCTCAGGGAGGTTTGAAACCTGATTTCATGGGTGATGAAAACTGGAGAGCCAGTGGCAGCATTCCCAACGACCAGACCCCCTGCCGGCATCCCGTATAAAAATGGGTTCGGTTCCGAACCAAAAACATCTAGGGGCGAGTGTGTCCTATTTTTCGGGTGTCCTATTCAGATCCACATCCTCATGGGATCCCTTAAGCTCTTTTCTGGGCTCCCTCACAGCGGCCGGGCTCGCGCGTTTTGGTGAGCGTGCACTACACTCACACCCGCGCGTGGTTTGACTCCAAGGCCAAGAGGTGTGTGGAAGGGGATCCATAAGGCACTCCGACGCAGATGTTTTGATGCGTCCGAGGCAGAACTTGAGTCGCCCCCTGACTTTTTGGGAGGTTCGGTGCCTAAACTGTTGACAGGTCGATGCTCCTTCTTTCTGGGAGGTCTCACGTCTTTTCATAGACCCAGATGAGGAGCTGGGGCGGTCTGATATGGTTCATTACCTTCCAGAGGACCACATGGACCAAAACTGGGGTGCAAAGGAATGGTCCTCCACCAGGGGTGCAGGGGGTTGGATCTTCAGGTACCCCCCCCTGGATCGCGAAGCACGCTCTGCCAGGATCCAGAGGACGTGCAGAAGGCCGTGGCCCGCGTGGAGGCCGCGGTCAAAGCGCTCGAGGCCGGCGGGGTCCATGGCTCCCCACTCTGGGCAAAGCTGCAGAGCACTTTTGGAGTTCTCTTGCACCAAAAAGACCTTTCCAAAACAAGTTCAGGCGTTTCTCATCACCCAGTTCTTTCCTGTTCCTTCCAGCACCCTCGCATCTTTTGAAGCAGGATTTTGGGCACCAGGAGACCCAGCTGTTGACCCAGCTTGCCTATAGAAGGTCGACGACCTCGACCACATGGTGGACTGGTCGAACTGCTGGACTTTGCTCCCTTTTCGTCCTTAACTCTTCTCCTGGGACCCTCCACACGAGTGTGGCGTCGAGGCTTCGAGAAACTTCGCCACGGGGGGGGGTGGGTTCTTCTTCTGGATCCTCTCCACCCGGGTTCTGCTTCACGATCTCAGTCAGGGCCGTACTGCCCTTCTTGGGCGTCCGTCCCTCGCGGCGTTGGACCCGCCCCCCCGAGGTGGAGGGCGTGCCGCGGCGGCGCATCCTCCTGGGCGGTTTCGGCATGGGCGGCGCGTTGGTGCTGAAGACGGTGCGGTGACCCGACTGGGGCGGACCGTGGGCCGTAGACGCCGGGCAGACGTTTTGGGTTTGGGGAGGGGGTTGATCGTCAAAAAGACAGGTCTTTCTTTTTTTTGGGTGGGTTGGATGCAGCTGTCGTTTTTGTGATGAAGTCAAACATGTTGAATAAATAAGATCTGGATCACCACCAGCACCCGAAACCTGCCAGGTCACCTGCAACTTTTAAGTCTGCAGAACTCAGCCACCATAACTCGGAGACCTGGTGATATCAAGAGCTCTTGACCTTCAGATGAGACCTTCAGAGCCATGATTTTAGAGTTTCATGTTTCCCACGGCCTGGGGGCTTTAGGACATCGACCTCGACCTAAGGGATCAGGGGTTCCCGACCGAAAACGAAAGACTCAAGTTGGTCGTACAAGTTCACACGCCGAAACGCGACGTATCCGGAGGTCAGGTCTTTCGTTCGACCAGACGGGTTTTTCGCTCGCTCGCGAGATTGTTCTGAATGGACGGGTCGACTGGCAGGGATTCATTCGAAGAAATGGGAGGTTTAGATGGAACTGCGGAATGTAGGGAACAGTTCTGGATTTGTCATGCATTTTCATTCTTGCCAAGCAGCCAAGCACTTTTTTTTGCATCTCGTTTCGGATGAGCCAAACCGTGGGCAGGGATGAACAAAAGCCAAACAAAACCCACCCACTTGCCACGGGTCGGTCGGGAGTCGCGCCGGTCCAGTCGCTGACGGTGTCCACCTGCACGTCGCAGGTGCTCCAATCCCGAGAGCCTTTTGCTGGAGGCGCGGTCCGCTTCGCAGGTGTGTTTCTCTGCGCAGACGGCGACAGCGAAGATCGTCGTTTTGGCAAAAGGTCTGGGGACCCAAGGTTCTTTTTTGTGATTCATCTCAATCTCCATTTCCTTTATTTTTATTTGATGTCTCTTATTACTTGCTTTTGGAATTTGAACACATTTCGTTGCACAACACTTTGGACTTGGATGATCGAGTGGAGCTTGACATTTTAAGCGACCCATCTTGAAGGCATCTCACCGGACCTTCGAGCCATCTCAGCTGTCTGGGGTCTTTTTCACGAGGACTCCTAGTAACAAGGACATTACTAGTAATAAGAAGCTACTAGTAGCTAAGTGCATCGCTACTAGGAACAAGTGCTATTAGTAGCTAATTTGCACTGAGCCTGAAGGCGTCGTGTGCAGCGCATGGTTGCCGTGCGCAGAGGTCCCGCCCGAGTGGGCGCGCGCGGGCAGTCCGTGCTTGCACGGTGGGGGGGTTTCGCCTCGGTTTGGTCTTGGTCTTGGCGGTTTCTTCTCAGACACGAACCTGCCACTTGAACAGATGAACCTGATTTCAGAACCCGCAGGCCATGTTCAACTGGGTGGTTTTGGCATGTCTTGTCTTGTTCAAATGGCCGTGGCCGAACCCCAAACCAAAGGCCGGTCTGATAGGAGGCCGGTCCAGCAGTCCACTGATAGGAGGCGTCTCTGCTGGGCAAATCAGGTGGTTTTCTTCTGGAACTTTATGGCTCGGGCTTGATCACTGCAACCTGCTTACACCATCATGCTCTAGTCACTCTAGTCTTCCAACCACCATTGATTTATGTAGTACTGTAGCCTTTACCAAACAACCATTGCTTTGCCAAGGATTTCATGGCCCCTACAGGTCAGTTAGACCTCATTTTACTGGACCAGGTCATACAAAAGCACTACTTTCTTTGATGTTTTCAGGACCAAAGAAGACTGGACCGGTCCTGGAGCTGGACAGGTCTTCCCGTTGCTCTTCTTGGAAGGTTGCGGTTCGGACTCTCCGTCCGCAGGACTTGGCAGAGAGCTTGAGGGAAGGTGGCATCACGACGGTTCCTCGGCTCCCGAGTTCGGGGGCTCTTCGGGATCTCGAGACGATGGGACGTCGGTCGTCATTCTTCTTGTCTCAGGAAGGGACGTCGGAATGCCCTGTCGTGCTTAGTGTCCTTTGGGTTTCTTGTTTGCAACATTTTGGAGTCAGTGAGAGCAAGGGCTCTGTAGAGTTCGTAAGAAAAAATGCATTTGAAGGGCTCTGGTCTCTCCTTCCGCAAAGAACCTTCTAGGAGACACTCAAAGGCTAAGGTCTTTTCATCTTGAAAATTAATAGGCAAAGGGAGAAACAATCTCTTCTTGATTTCACATATTTTTGGCGGCCGGCCGCATCTGTAAATTCACATCCGTACCCTGGAAGAAAATGGCCCAAGATGGTCTTCGTCTCCTCTGCCGGGATCTCTCTTGGCTCGGCTCGGCCGTGGTGTCCCTCTCAATCTCTAGAGTCTCTCAGGACTCTTTGGCCAAACAAAGACTCCCTCGTTTGTTGGGTCAGGAATAGGCCACCCCAAAAGTGGAGGAGTATGTGGTTCACTGGATGGGTCACCGCAGGAGTATACGCTACCATTTGTCACCCTCTCTTATATAAGGAAAAAAGGCGGGTCTTGCGCACGCCAAAGACCTGCGCCGCACGTCACGCCGAAGACCTGGAACCCCCGGGTCCAATGCGCAACGTAGACGACGTCGCACGTCTGACGCGCCAGAGAAGCCACGCACCTCGTCGCACCGGGCCGCACCGAGCCGAGGAGATGCTCTGGTGCCATGGCGCCAGGGACAGCGTGGTGGAGCCTGTTTTGGCTGCGCAACAAGCGAAGATGCTCAAGGCGGGGACGAGCGGACGGACATGAGTCGCTGTGCAGTGACGGATGGTGGGGTGTTGAGATGGAGAAACAGCGAAACGTGGTGGTTGTGAAGTGCACATTATGCAGTGTCGTTTCGTGCATTTTCTGGTCGAGATGTTGGGACACGACCAGAGAAGGCCAACCAAGGTCCACTTCTTGAAGGAGAGTGAGAAAAAGCTGCGGCTGTGGCCCAAAGATGATCACCAATCACTCCTGAGTGCTGGGGATCATATTCAACTTCTGCAGGCCACACATGACTCCCCCAAATGGACGCCATCTCTATCTAGTTGAAGACATCTAAAACTCTTCACATGTTTCCTACGCATTTTGAGCCCTGCCAAAGGACCGCGCTTGAGCTTGCCTCCCCATTTCCCAATGTGATATTCCTTCGGAGTGCCTGGCTTGGTGTTTTTGCGATAGCTCCGCAATAGGATGGGGTCATAGCTCCCCCATCCCGCGGTGGAAACTAGCATTGCCTTGAACGACATCGACCTGAGCTGACCTGGGTTTCTAGTCTACAATCGTATCCTTAGTAGAACGGCGGGCCCCAGACCCTTTAACCACTGCTTCTTAGGCAAGGGCCCCAAGGGGAGCAGGGCCCCAGGGCGGGTGCTGCCATCGTCGTGTTTGGGAGCATCTTCGCGGTGGTGGCACCTCCAGGAGGCCGGGGTCCAGATCCGATTTCAGCTCTTCCCAGAAGCTCAGCTCGGGTTCTCAGTTCCGCATCGGTGGTGCGTCGCCGTCCAGGTGTTTGGGTTGTGGCGAACAGAAGCCGCTGGGTGTTTGGGTTGGGGCGACAGTCAGAAGCATGTAAAGTCAATGCCGCATGTGCCGATGGTGCCGTGGTCTTACTGGTTGACCAGGAGAGACCGGCCCACTGGGGCCTCTCCCTTCAGGTCGGTCGTCGGGAACCTCGAGGAACCCTTCAGCAGCCGGCGCGCTGTATTCGGGTTCCTGGCGCCCATTGATTGAATGGTCTGAATACCATTGGATCCATGGTTTTTCTAGGGATTTTACACTACAAAACCAGGTAAAAGCATTCTCTTGTACTGGTCTTCCCTGGTTGAAATGGGCCTTTACAGATCCGGAGAGGCTTCTTGTTGTTCTCAGGTTCGAGCTGTCCCGTGAGCCTTTGTTGGCTGTGCAAGCCTTCATCGCACGATGCTTGAAGATGGAGGAGAAGGACGAGGAGCGACGCCGTTGGCTTTTCTGATTTTTTCTCCAAGGAGTCGCTGCCCCCTTGTTGAGTGGAGTGATTTTTTGGGGTCACGCTCTTTTTGGGATGGGTGGATGGGTGGATGGCGGTTAGGGTTGTCATTCTGTTGTTGGTAACTGGTAACGCTTGTGGAAGTTGGGGTGCTTCTAGCATGGTTTCAAGACTTATGTTGCCAAGGAGGGAAGTGCTAATCTTTTTTTTAAAGATCATGATCTTTTGTCCTGTTTCACTGCACATGATCATACCATCATTAGCTCATTAACAGTAACATCTCTTGAACACGTCACGCAATCAGCGGTGCGGGGCTGGGACAAGGAGGCAACTGGTCCGTGTAGCTTTTCACCACACGACACTATCCTGCAGCCATCCACGACACTATCCTGGTGTTTCACGACACTATCTGCTTCAGCGAGACACCCTTTGGAAGTTTTGGTGGTGTTTCCCCGACCTCTGGGGGGCTGAACCTTCCAGCATATGAGCCGCCGGCAGCTGCGGTGTCTCACCCAATAGAGGTGTGACGTGGGTGCTGGGAGGGTCATTCATCATGGTGAGATGAGGAGGGGGCGGAGCCAGTTCCTATTTTATCGACCAAACTTCTTTTTTTGGTGAAGGCTCGTTCGTTGCAACCCACGAAATGACACACTACGTCACTATGCTTGTTCTTTTTTGGATCCCTTCCGGAACCAAATGGAGACTTTGCTCCTCATCCTGCGAAGCGCTCCCGCTCCCGCTCCCGCTCCGGAAAGCTCACCGGATCTGTGAGGAGGAGCCGCCCGAGCTGCCCACCGATGGTGAGGGGGGTGTGAGAACGGAGGGATCATGAGCAGCGCTAACAGAGGGAGTAGACGCACGTCGTCCGCATGGAGGGAGGAAGGGGATGAGGGAGGCAAACGGTACACGACGCTGCGGGTTTGAGCAATCTGTGTAGGGTGTCCCAGCATTACCCTGAAAGAGGATCCACGATTCTTTTGGGAGAAAGGCCTCAAATCCAGGGGGCCGCGAAACGGGGCACAGCAATCAACACAGGCACACAGAGCGCCCTCTGGTTGCATCACTGAGCGCCGTCCTCCACGGGTGACTTCAGTCCTCCACGGTGGGTGACCCGTGTCTCGGTTTCACCACGCCGTGACCGCCGTGACGGTGAGAAAAGGCTTGGGTCAGTAGGGCTCAGTAGGGTAGCAGGACTGAAGGACTGGAACACCGGAGCTGCCACCAGAAAAAGGCCCAGCAATAGACGCTGGTGGGCAAACAATATATACCCACCTCGGGAGAAAGGATGCGGAGATTTGTCACAAACAAATTGAAGTTCCTGTTCAAAGTGCTCGGTTCATGTCGCCGAAGGGAAGCTTTTTGGGTTTCCTTTTGGTTGCTTCAGCTGGGCTGCCCTCGTGGGCTGCCCACATGGGCGGAGGAATCCATTCCCTGATGGCCCTCGGCTTCCGTTCGACCATGTAATAGAATGGCCGACCTGGGCTTCGCCTAGTCTAACATCCTTTGTTTGACTAAGCGTCTTCCCACAGCCTCAACTGGAAAACGGCAGTGGTGGATCTGCCTTCAGAGATTCACAGTGCATTTCTTTTTACATCTATAAAAGTCCTTTGTTTAACTAAGGGTTGTTCCGGATTCAGCCCGGTGGGCCCTCCAGTCCGAAGAGCTTAGATCTGGGTTGGTCTTTGGGGCGCTCCAGTGGCCGGTTCCGAGTCTCCCAAAGAACCATGGAGTTCAAAACAGATCTTCGACCACCACGAACCAAAACGAGTTCGGGACCAGACCGAGCCGCGGCGTCTCGCGTGGTCCGGTCCGCGGCTCGGTCTGCTGGTCTCGCATGTGCGACCGGACGACCGCAGCCTTCAGCATCTAAAAAGCTCAGCTTTGCGGTGAACATGTCACTTGCCAGCTGGATTTTCCACAACGGACTTGCGCGCATCTGCAATAAGCACTTTGTGTCGGACTTGTTCCGCGAACTTCTGTCTTCGCTCGCAACCCCCGTCTTCTCTCGCCTCTCGCTATGGCTTTGAAGATCTTTGAGATCGATTCCACACTTCGTGGCTGTGAAGGTCAAATCTGGGATCGAGTCAATGGCTACAGGCAGGGACCCGAACGACGACCACAGAGTTCCTGCCACAAAAGAAACATCCGTCCACTTGATCAATGCGGCCAAGGTAAGGTGTTTTACATAAGCAAAACATGATTCCAATTGAGGATGTTCTGAACAACATTGATTGGATGCGACGGTTGCAACTCAGAAACCTTTTTCGACCTGAAACAAAAAAAACACTCCTTTGGCGGTCCAGCCGGATGGACCGCCCTGGGTCTCCACCCCCCGCGTCTCCCACACCACACCTCGGTCAAGGACCGGAAGTCCCGGCCACCGAAGTGACACCAGCTCCCAGCGGTCTCCAGGAGAGACGCGTGGCCGTTGTGTCAGGTGGTGGAAGAATGAGTTGCAAGAGAAGGAGAATGGCATGGCAGAGCAGCGGACTCAAACGCTGAGAGTTGGACTTCCATCGGACCACGGGGCGAGCGCCCCGAGTAGTCGCCCATTCGGTTTCTTTTCTTTGGCCTTGGCTCATTTCTTCAGCACACACAGAATAGACATAGGTGTGCGAAAGAGCACAAGAGTCCCGGGCGTATGTGTGGCAATGTGGAACAGTCCCTGCCAGCTTCTTCCAAGTGACCTTTTTGGAGTCCCTTTACAGGTTTAAGTGACCTGAAAGCAGGATATCAAAAGGTCACTTTGAAGAACCAGGTGTTGACCTTTCTGTTTCCATGTCAAGATGGGAGGGTAGCAACCGTAGTTTGTTCGAGCTTTGTTGGGGCGAACGAAGCATCATTCGCAAGCTCGAGCCACTTCCTGATTGCAGAAGTACAACATCATCTCGCTGTGTAATGCTCCTGTTTTGGCTTCTTTGGGTTGTATACAGACGCATTTTCTTTTTTTTAACTCTTTTATTATTCCATTGCACCAATAGAAAAAGCTGACACGCCGAGGTTTGCTGAAGGATACAAGATCTTTGGCTTCAATCGCACCAAAGGCTCTGTCCGGAACGGAACTCGGTGAGTTGGGAAGGACGAGCGACGGGCCATGGGGGGCCCGAGGTAGCCTGGGACCCCCAGGTTCACCACCAGACATGGAGGGCCCTGGTAGTGGTAGGCTATGGGATAGGCTATGGGACTGTTCAAGGTTTTGCATACGGCATCTCCCGACAGCCGCCTCCGAGATGACCAGACACACACACACACCCATGGGAAGCACCTGGAGCTGGGGTTGGAGCGTTCCATTTTCAGCTCAAGCAATGGTGCTATGGTGCTTCCGAGACCGGGAGGCCAAGGTGTGGCCCTCCACGTGTGGCCCTCCTGGTCTCCGAACCCGCGACCCGTCGACTGAATTCGTGGTCAGGTCTTCTTCGTTGCGCCAGGTGGATATGTCTACCGTGAATGGCTCCCCAACGCCAAGCAGGCCTTCCTGATTGGTGAGCAGGGAGCCCCAGACCAGTGGTGCTCCCGCCTCCCATGGGTCTTCCGAAGCGCCATCTCCGAGAGGGGGGGGCTCTCCAACGCCCAAATCAGGGTGTCAGAAGAGGTGTGGTGGGTTGGGCGACAGACAGCTCTAAGAAGCCAACGACACCTTTCCAGGAGGCCACTCGAAGAGCCCTGGCAGCCAGTCACATGGAGGTCGCTGGCTCGTCCCATGAAGAAGAAGCCAGTCAGAAAGAACAAAGACTGACTCCCTATATAACCCCTTTTCCACATGCACCCGACTGCACGACATGACCATGACCACCCCCTTCGATTTTGGGGAAAAGAACCCCCAGGCCCAAGGTCCAGTGAGTGTGGGCGGTTAGTGGTGGAGGACTTTCCAGGTGGGGTCTTTCAGTTTCCAACGGAAGTTCCGTCCGAATCATTGAGGGTCTTCGTGGATGGCCATGATTTCGACTCGGAAAAGAGCATGGTTTCTTTTCTTCACTCCAGGTCACCCGTCAAGGTCGTCTCTTGTGTCACCACGGTCACCACGCCGCCCCACCGAGTGTCAGCTCGCATGCGCCTCGCCAGACGCGTCAACGGCGTCAGACGCCAGGTTCAACGGCTGGCAGAACAGCACACCGCTGCAGAACGAAGGCTTTGGCCGTTGGAAGGTGGATCTGCCCAACAAGGAGAGGAAACACCGAGAGAGGGGTGGAGAGGTGGAGAGGATTACTTTTATTCTATTTTTTTCTTTTTCCAGTCCAAGTTCAATCATGTCACGACGACTGGAATGACCTGACATTGGAAGTCTTCAGGACCGGACAAAAGCGTCACCCAAAGACTGAAACGGGGGTCAACCGACCTTCCAGGACGGTCAGTTGAGCTTCGCTGTGCCCGGCGAACCGCTTGAGCGCTTCGCTGTGACCGGCGTTCGCCGGTGACCGGTCACCTTTTTGGCTCCAGAAACGCTTTTGGTGCCCGTGACCGGTCAGGTTTTGTGGATTCCGCTATTCCGGTGAAGTGACCGAACTGACCTGTTGGTCTGCAGTGATTGGAGGCCATTGCTATTAAGTTGGAGGCCATTGCGATTATTACTATTACTAGAATAACTATTATTCCAAATTTCGGAAAACACAGGTAAAAGAGGCCATTTGGTCATTCAAAAGGGACACGACTTGGCTGGGAGGTTTCTTGAAATCAGGAGACTGGACCGAGCGTTTTCGTCTTCGACTGGACATACAAAGGGAATCCCAAAATTGGGTTGGAAAAGGACCGGTTTTGTGGGTTTGGAAAGGTTTTGTTTTTTGTGGAGCCCACACATAAATACCAGGACCTTCCAAAGAGGTGTTTATGGAGGTTAAGGGGTGTCCAAAAACCACCTGTTGGAAGGTCCTGGTATATATATGCCAAGAAGTAAGTTCTTACTTGGATTGCATGCCACTGAGCAGCTGTTCCGTTTGAATCAAAGCCGCCCGGCTGGATCTCAAGCCCCATAAACGGAGAGGATGTCACTCCTCTAGTTGGTCATACCAAAACACGACTCGGGGAGATCCAGGAGACTGGGGGCCCACGTCGTCTGCCCCAGCCTTGCGTCCGGTCGCACGCCGGACGCCGGACCCCGCTTTTTGTGTTCCAAATCGATGTGGGCGGTCTACAGGACCCTGGGATTCCTAGGTCCCAAATCCCAAACAACCATTGTATTACAAAGAAGATTGGATTACAAAAACAGGGTCGACCTTGCTTTTGAAGGTCAACCTTGAAGGCCATGGACGTAAGAAGCTTTCATGGCTTCGATGCGCAAAGACACTGCTGCAGGAGGATGGTAGCCCCATGATCCCGCATGCCAGTCAGTTGAAGGCCAGCGATGCTTAGGATGGGCTGCCGGGCGGGGGATGACTTGTGGGGACTGTGTGGCTGCTGTTCTAGAGGGTTTGGAAAAGGACCTCTCAAACACTTGCAGGGGTTGAGATCGAAAAAGACTCGGTTAGCTGTGTGGGGTTGCAGTGGTGGCAGTTCTTCTTCTTCACTTGGAAAGCAGCATGATTCAGCTGTAAGATATCAGGAAGACTTTGGCTCGATCGTGAAAAGCCATGCCAAAAAGCACAGATTCCACTTCCATGAGGGTCCCAACTTGGAAGGTAGGGGTGTGTTTAGATCTGAAAGCACGGTCTGAACGAACACCCTCACGACCCGTACTCTCTGTGTTGCAGTTTAAGTGTGTCACGTCCGGGCTTGCATGTTCAATGACGGGCTTGCTCAGATCAGCTGTAGATTGTGGAGCCCGGGGGGATTGAACATCTACAGACCGCGAGAAAGTCTTCAGAACACGACCCCCAACCTCCACGATGAACTTCCGCGCCACCGGCGCCACCGGCGGGCCGCGCGCACCACGGCCCCAGGTGCGCGTGGAATCGAACGACGGTGGATGGCATGACCGCGTGCCTGCTTGGAGCGGCGGGTGTTCTGGGGTCGGTGTTGGCCTTCGGTGTGGTTCGCTGGTCAATTGCTTGGGAAGGCCCCGATTTGACTCGTGTTTTGGGACCATGTAGTGATGGAGGCTTTCTCTGGAACCTGAGGTGTTTTCTTGGTTCCCCAACCGAACGCACGGGGATCCGTATGGGCGACCGGATGGAGGGCGACCGAGCCGCCCGGGGATGGCGGTAATGGATCCACGACCCGGTCCGGTCCGATATAGAATCGGATGCCTAACTGCAGCGAAATGAGGTTTCTGGACCTTCTTTGACTTGTAGGTTGATGCATGAATCGACGGGAGATCCCGAATTCTCCCCCCAACAACTAAATACCAAAACCGGGTGCCTCTCTGGTCGGTACCAGGCCACTACTCCCTTTTTCCTCCATGTTCTTGGGTACTCGCGATCCGGTGAGGAGCAAGTTGGCTTGGCAAGATCACAGCACCTTCGCTGACAACTCGCTCGCGAGTTGGCGTCGTCTTCGTTGGCGTCGTCGGTATACCACCGCGTGGTCGTCTCGAGCGCGGGCGTGGTCGTCGGTGGGAGATGGACAACCTGAGCGCTGGCCCAGCGTAGAGTGCTGCAGGGACCATGAACAGAGCAGGGTTGATCAGGTTGACGGTTGATGAAAGAAAAAGCCAAGCAGAGCCATTCTATTGATGAGGCATGAGTGTAAGAGTTCTTCATATGGGGGAGTTTCATGATGTTTTACATGTTTTACTAATCAACAGACAGTCTGCATGAATTCACCCTCTTTGTATCTTTTTTGGGGGGGTGAGCCGGGTGAGCTCTCAGTGTCCCCAGTGCATCCCAGGCAGTTCCCACGAGTAGTAAGGGAACCAGGGGCCCTCGTTCGGTCAAACTGGTGTTCGTCGTTGCCTGGAACCACTGGTTACACATCGTGGTTTGCTGCCTGGATGCCCTGGGTACCAGCTATGCTGGTCCCAAACCAACGGGAGCTGCGGAACCGCTCGGAGCACCACCGTCCGCAAAAGGGGTGGATAGAAAGGGCCCGCTAGGCGGTGAAAAGGAGGGGATGGGAGGGTTGAGACACATCCGGGAGGATCATCCGCTACAAGTCACTTGAACTGCTTTGTGATACACGCCGCTTGTAAGGATGCCGTGCACATGTCAGACATGTGCTCAAGCGCAAATGGTGTTTTCGGTGGGAGTGGGACTTGTAGTTTTGTTTGGAATGAGCATCCCATTGCACAAAGCATATATCCCATTTTGATCAAGTTTTTCCAATGAGTCCTTTGCAATCTTTCAATACCCCAGCCGGAACCCCCATGCCAATTTGCACTAATGGCGCCACATTTGCTGCCACTGAGCCACCAACCTCTTCAACGGCGTCTTTTGGGAGCCGCCGGAGGAGAAGCAATATGGTGCCTTGGTCGGTCAAGACGTATGGTGCCACAACCCCCATGCTATAACCACCGTTTTTCTTGTGTGACTTGGTGGTTGATTGGTGGTTGATGTTGGGATTCGATCCATTGTTTTTTTGTTTCCATTTTATTCACATGTCACTTGTACCTTGTCAGCCCAACCTCTGGATTTCCCCGCGGCTACGGGACAGAGCGTCTGCGAGTTCGAGACCAAGGAGGTTCGGTATTTGATCAGAGCAATTTCCAAAAGCCTTCTTGTGACGTACTAGTACTACTAGTACCCCAGCAAAGACCTTTAAAAGCAAGGCTGACCTGGTTTTGTAGTCCAATGTCCTTGATAAAACAGTAGGTTGGAGACCATCGCTTTTAGGTTGGAGGCCATCGCTACAAGGTTGGAGGCCATTGCTTCTAGGTTGGAAGCTAATCCATGTTCCTCTTTTTCTGTGTGCTTGACTGCCTAACCTCGCACATCCGCATCAATTCTTTTGTACATGCAATTCTTTGTGTTTTCGTGAATCTGATGGTCGGACTCTCTTTCATACCTCACCTCTTCCACATCTTCCAGGCTTCTCAAAAAAGAGCATCACATTCGTTTCTTGTTTTTAAAGAAACACACACCCTCTCTTTGTCTTCCGTACGTACCGAGCCGCCCGTGACATCCACCCTCTCCACCTCGCCGCTGCGCCCAGTCTTCCAGCACGCTCGCCCGGAGAAGCCCGAGAACCTGAAGATCTACGAAGCACACGTCGGCGCGGGCGCCAAGCGATGTGTATAAGGGTCGGAGTCGGGAAAAATGGGCACCAGCTGGGCTGAAGATCCAGGGAGTATGAGATGGTATTTGTGTCGAATTCGCAGCGGAACACTCGTCGTGTTTGCGCGTGAACGTGACCCATGTCTACCAGGATTGTACAAGGACCATCAAAGACTTCATCTCTACCAGCTTCTTCAGTGCCTTTTCCCGAGCTTGAGTTCGTCTCAGTGGTTCACTACGTTCAACCCACTTTGAGGAAGAGACTTCAGTGTTTGCGGCCTCCAAATCACTCAAACACTTCGGTTACATTGACTCCATGGGCCCATTCCGCGCCCCCTACGCCACACCAGGTGCCCCCCAACCCCTAACCGGTCAACCACTGGCTCCGACCGGCCAACGCTCGCGGCGCGGGCGGTTCGCCTCTGCAGGGATGGGCTCGGTCGAGCCCAAGGTGGCCACTTACGTGGAGTTCGCCGAGTGGCTCGGTGTGAAAAACAGGTGGTGGGGAAGGTGGCGGGGAAGGATGGATGGCCGGGTTTTTGGGGGTTCTGAAGTGAATGGAAGAACTGAGGAGGGGGGGTTTTCCAGGACCTGGGAAGGGAAGAACTGGGGACACTGCAGGGAAGAACAGATTTTGGGTAGAGTTGGCGACCCAAGAAGAGTGTTTCGCACGGTACAGGCAGCTTGGACATGATTGATTTCTTGGTAGGGCCGGACGTTGGAGCGTCCCAGAGACTTTCTCGATCCCCGCATTTCCTTGCTCTTCCAACGTTTCTAAAGACTGGGCCGCATCTGCTTTCATATCAATTACTTTTGTAAGATGTTATTTAAGTTTAGTATTTATTGGAATCACAATCTGACACTTATCAGGCAGTCTGGGTGGCCCCCTGCATTCATGACCATCCCTCACGTTTTCTTTTCCAACCTTTCGCTGGGCTGAGTAACATTCTCCCGCGCATCAAGCGCATGGGCTACAACTGCGTCCAGCTCATGGCTGTGGCGGAGCACGCTCACTACGGCTGCTTCGGGTATCACGCGACTGGGCGGACGACTGCTTCGGGTGAATCCGTGGGGCTGGCCATGCAGAGACATTCACGAAGGACGTGACACCTGGACGGTTTCATGGGGAAAGGAAGGGTTCATCCCAACAACTGTGGAGAAAGGCAAGACAAGAGAGCACTGAACATGGGGAACCGGGAAACCAGCACCTGGGAAGCCGGTGTTCCCTCAGTGTAGGGTGCTTTCTCTGCAATGCGAGCGGGAGTGGAAGGGCAAGTTTGTCGATGGTGGGCATGTTGTTTTTAGATGTTTGGGCCCCGCCCACTCGCCATGTTTTCCAGGTTTGTGGGGACTTCACCATCGCTCAAGGCATCGAAATCTCCAACATGGAGACAACACTCCATGTACCCAGCAGTCACATGTCGGGGGGGCTATCCATGGAGGTGGCTGGGGTGCCCGAACGTCACATCCACGAGCCCGCCCTGGATGGGACTCAAAACCACCCTGGACTCCATGTGACTCCTGGTGCAACCCATTTGACCTTTGTTTAGATAGGAAAAGGCCCGGCCCATTTGTCTAGAAAAGAGGTGGTCACTCAGGTTGGTACTCCGTACTCATATGGTATATTTGCCTACAAGGATCTCCGGTTTCAACCACCCACTCCATCGGCATCTCATCTCTTCCAACTCTGATACCTGGATCCTCCAGCTTCTGCAACATTTCTGCCTTTTGGCTGGTTTTATACTGATCCAAAGGCAGACATTGAAAGCAGAAGTTAGAAGATGATGAAGATGTAGGTCTCTCCAACTCTTCCACCCCTCGCCCGTTTGTTGCTCCGACCCCAAACTGCCTAGACTCTAGACCGCACCGAAACCCGGAGCCGCAGGTGACCTCGTTCTTCGCGCCGGCCTCGCGTTCGGGGACCCCCGAAGAGCTGAAGTACCTGGTCGACACGGCCCACGGCGCCTTGGTCCGACCCGGAGCCGTCCGTCCTCCGTGCTGCGGTCGGGTTGGGGCCGCCGTGCTGGCGTGGGGGGGGGAGCGGGGCCATGCGGGTGCGGGCTGGTTGCGTGTGGTTGCGTGTTGAGGCAGTGGAGACCGAGAAAAAGGACAGAAACTCAAGGAGGGCAGGAAGTGTTTGTACTTTGGAGTGTGTGAAGTGTGTTTTTTTTGGCTGACGTGGAACATGTTTCTTTTTTGCAAAGGACACTGGTATTCTGGCGGCTCAGTTTTCTCTTCCATGTGAATGAGTGGGAATGTAGTGATTTGTGATTTGTGCACCAACAGAATGCACCAAAAGTCCGAGTCCTACTGTTGATCACCTTTCATCTCGCGTATGTTGTTGTTAGTTGTAAAGTCACCATGTTTTTCTCGTCCCCCTCTTTTGAGCCTTCATGTCCGACAAGGAAGACGTGTCGTTTGGATTCCAGGTTCTACAGCTACTCGAAGACGACCCCTGGGACCCGGCGCCGAGCCCCGAAAACGGAGCCACGCGACCGACCTCCGACTCCTCCGAAAACGATGCGAAGAAGAGAAACCTTTCCTTTTTAATGGGTTGAAATCCCAAAAGAACCATGGTTTTACTAAGGATTTTTACACTAGTACCGGGTCAACCATGTTACATGCTGGTCTTTGGACTAGGGTATTTTTGGTCATCGCTGCTCATCTATCCTATCCCCTTCGGGTGTTAGACGTAGACGGAAGCCGATGGTTCGTCACCGGCTTCCTGGTTCGCCGCGGTGCTCCCAGGTCTTGGAATTCATGTCTTGATGGACCTGGTCCATGCGCACGCCTCGTCCAACACCCTGGATGGCATTGCACAGATGGATGGCACTGATCATTGCCGCTGGGCCAAGTTGACCCAGGAGACCCTATGGTTCACCCGGTCGGGCTTGACCTATGGGTCACGACCGAGGCTCCGACCCGGTGGGTCGGGCGTCGCCCGATGCGAGTGAGAGACGGGCGACGGGACCCACCGTTGCCCGGTGGACCCACCAGCACCTTGGTTGGAGCCTCGAGGTCATTCATTCCTAGAAAGAGCCATGCGAAGAACAAAGTGATAGCCAAGCATGAAGGACGAGCACGTGGCAGCCAGGTTGAGAATGACAAGTCTAGGTCTGTGACGTGAAAGTGCCAGCCAAGATTGACCTAGTGATTGACCTATATTCAGGAAAACATTCCTTGTTTAACTAGGACTTCATTCACGATCAGATGCTTTTTTTGCGAAGAGACGAGCAATTTGCACCTCGATTTCGAAGAGATCCTAGCTTCCATGACGTGCAGCAAGGTGTGTTCACAGCAAGATCAATTGGAGGTTCAGCTCCTGTAAAACCAGGGAGCATTAATCTCTTCATTTGCCGTTTCATCAATCCCTGGTCCTTCACACCACCGGTCCGGTCGACTCTGGTGCCGGGTCGCTGGACGAAAGGGCATTGAACTGGTCCTGGTGGTGCCCTGGTCCGTTGTTGAGACCAGTCCCTGCAAGTCCAGTTTGACCCAGTAAAACCCGGTCTTTTATCTCCTTAAGAATTGGTTTTGCACGACCATCCCCAGCAAAATGAGGTCTTTGACTTGTAGGGACTGGTTTCCTTGTATCTGTCTAAAGACCGCATTGCTCCGAACTCGGAAGACAGCATCGGACATCCACAGCTCGGACGAACGGACGAAGCAAGCCAAGGCTACACCCACGGAGGACGGGACGGGATGGTTTGATGGGACCTGTTGATGGTTGGATGGGTACGTTGGAGTGTGTCGTGCAAATGCACTCGTTTCTAGTTTCTACGAACATTCATGCCCTTTCGCATCCTTTCGCCACACAGGTATTGCTTCTCCCTAAGAAATTCTGTGCCAAAAAGGTTCAGAATTGAACGGTCTCCAATTGGACTCCAGGTGTAGAAGCTTGGCCAATGCGGCCGAGAAAACCCCGACTATCCGAGTCCAGGAATTTCCTTGACTTCGGCGCCGAATATGGTCGAACTGGACACACCTAGGGTTTGAACTGTCTGTACCAGAATTGAAAGCCTCAAATTCAGAGTCAAAACCTCCCAGAGTCACGAGCGCCGCTCCGCGCCGCTCCGCTGGGAGAGAAAAGAATCCGGGTGGAAACCCGGGTTTCCGTGGAAACGAGGCAAAGAACACGGAAACCAGGAGTCTCTCTTAAAGAGACACTTGGTTTTCGTCCGCACACACCCCTTGCCTTGCATACATCAATCATTTGTCCACACCCCCTGAAGTTTTCGTGCAAATAGCTTCCTGGCAAAAAAAACAACATATATATATAATATATATATATAGTGTATACCTGAATCTTGCTAGGGCTGCGCTTTTTGCGCCTCTAACCTAGAAGGTGCCTCTAGGAACTGAGAGCCAACTTTTTTTGCAAGAGGCGATTCTTGGTTTACATAGATTTCTTGCCAGTTATGTTGATAGATCCAGGGTTTGACCGATGTTGTGTTGGTCATGCCATCGCCCTTGCTCTCAGGCGCAGTGTGGGCAGCATTACAAATGGATTTTCCACTGGATTTTCGATGTCATTGAACTGCTAATTTTAAACTTGGATTAGCCTGCGAAAAAAGAGAAAAACACACACTCACAAGTCCGGTTTTCCCACTTCAATACCTGCATTTCAGACAGGTCGAGCCGGACTTGTGGGGGTCTTTTTTGCAGGCCAATCCAAGTGGAAAATTGCAAATATGAACATGATACTGCGCAATATGATAAACACACATGAAAAACATGAAACATCATATGAAACACATGAAAGCCACATGAATAACATGAAAGCACAGGAGAGCCACTGAAAAGCACGAAACACATCAAAAACATCCCAAAAACATGAAAGCACAAGAAACACATGAAACATATGCAAAAACATGAACACACATGAAAGACGAGAGGCGGAACTTCCCGGGTAAGAGGCAGAATTTTCCCCGGTCATGAATTTTTGGTCGACAGGCAGGTTGCCGCTTTCAGGCTCGTCTCTAATCCAAAGGGGAAATGGCGTGTCAGCTTCCATCCTCTGATGGCTGGTTTGACGTTAGTGAAAGAAGAGAAAGATATAACAAACCTGAGGGTGATTATGCAACCCTGATGTCAGAGCTCCAACGGCTGCAGGTGGGGCTGTTTGCAAGTTTCTATGGGTATTGATAGTCACCTCTAGTCACTATTTGGTCTGAACATTTCCAGGCTAAACATTTTACTTTTGTTTTCTGCTAGTTGCAGGCGCTCAGGTTGCTAATGCAACAATTGCCTACTCCTATGAACTCTGCCTCTGCCTTGAAAGACCTCCAAACGCCAAACACCCGAAGAGTTACGCCGGGCCTTATGATGAAGCTCAAGTGACTGATTTGGGTTTGGATGCAGTTCAAAACCAGTGGAAAATTTACAGTGGACAAAAAAGACCACCAAAAACACTACACATGACAAGATTCCCTTCTACCAGAAAAACACGAGAGGCAGTTTTTCGTTTCTAAGCGGCAATTCTTGAATTGAGAGGCCTGACATTTGAGCCTCTTTGCTAAGAGGCTGAGAAAAGCAACCCGGAGGTTTAAGGTATATACGTACTTGTTGTTGTTGTTGTTGTTGTTGTGTTTTTTTTTGGTGGCGTTTGGAACCTTGAAATAGGACACCTTTTGTGTCGTGTCCTCGCCATTTTCAGATACAAGTTAGACACATCAGTTTATCGAATCTAGACTGGCTCTCAATCATGCTGGAACACAGAGGCTTTGCGCTTATGCATGATTGTGATTTGGATGATTGGCTTAAGTACGAAACCGATCTGAAGTTCCGAATCCACGATTGCAGGCTGACGCAGGTTTGCATCGTTTGCTTTGGTGCTTTGTTGTTATCTACATCATTCTGTGGGAGATTGTGTACGAATGTGATATTTGGCAAACCAGATGTGGACGTCAGTGTGGTTGCGTCGCTGAAAGCACCAGAGAAGTTGATTGGCCACAAGGATTCGCACTACTGTTCCCACAACAATTCTTACAAGTCTCGGTCAGCTTGTCCGTGCCGGGATGCCCCAGTTCAGGAACTGCTGGAGAGCACGAAGAGCACGATGTCCATAGTCACTGCTATTCGCAAGGTGAAGAATGATGGAGTGGAGACCCCAGAGAATTAGGCCAACATCGAAGATGACAGATTAGAACATCACAAACAGTATAGGTTAGGCCAGTATTAGGCCAGTCATTAGGCCAACATGATAGAACCTGCCATATCTCAAAAGCAAAAACAACCAATGGCTCTTCCAGCCTTTGGAGGGACAAACATCACATGGAAGAACTGTGGTCGGGTCCCTGACAAGCAGCCCCAGCCAGATGGGATGTGTGCCAGAAACCCAATGGCCAGAAGCACCAGAAGCACCCTCATGGTGGTGGCCAGACGTTGCAAGTTGGCCATGGCAGGAGTTTCGCAACGCCAGAAATCCAGCACCTTGTGTGAAGTCAAGAAGAACGACGTCAACCAAGAACGACCAGTACGTCGTTCTTCGTGTCAACGTTGCGAAACGTTCAACGTTTCGCTGAATGATCTGGTCGAGGCTGGGGTGCATGATCTGGTCAGACCGAGCCAATTTCAGTGGCGGCTTCAGTGTGCTATCTCTGATGGTCCACTCTTCCATCGACTGGGCCCTGGTTTGCTAGGAGATACCCAAAGTGGACCTTCCAAGGGGTGCCCAATGGAGATCCATAAGTGCAGGGGCTTTCATTGGTGTCCCCGAACGGAAGGTGATGGTATGTGTTTCACATCAGGGAAACCTGTTTCACCTCGAGCCTGTCGCGCATGTCCAGGACCCAAGGGCCACCACAGCGAGTGGGACTCGCCGCTGGACCGCAGGCCGAACATGGCGGCCCCAGGCCGAAGCCATGGAAAAAGCGCCAAAACAATGAGTTTGGGATTGACCTGGTGACCTGTCAAATCCATAGTAAAACAAATGGTTAATGGTCCCAGGGCATCTGGAAAGTCACTGCGGAATGCGAGAACAGAGAGTCAATGCCGTTTTTCACGGGGCCAGGCATCTCGTGGTTTGATCGTCGCAACCGAACGCGTTTTCTAAGTATGCTAGACATAAAACCTTTGCACTCAAGAACCAAAGCCCTTAAGACATAAACACACCAAAGGCAGGATACTCCGCCTTCTAGCAGCTTGTAGAGGTGCCATTTGGCCTTTGCTCTGCTGTGCCGATCAGATCGTGAAACTGAGGAAGATCTTCAACTACCTGAAGTACGAGGTGGGCCAACCCACTCTTTTTCTCAGAAACTTTCATTTCATCACTACTTTCATCTAGCGAGCCAATCAGCCGACCGGCGCCATGTCCTTTCAGTCTGACCGAGTCTGACCCATGTGATTTGCTTCTTTCAACCGGTCCCGTGACCGGTTGCCGGGCTGATGAATGGCGTTTGCTTCTACTCACGGAGGTTGGACGTGAGTCAGGTGCTTCGATTCCTTCTCTCCAACATCAAGTGGTGGTTGACCGTGCCGTGGACATTGGATCGGGAGGCTCGCGTCCAGAGCTGTGCCGCTGGGGAAACCATGCCCTTGGTTGGTTGATGAATAGAGGAGATACCCCCAGTAGTGAACGGTATGCTTTGGGGCTATCCTATTACCTGGAACAGTCGATCAACAGTTGTCACTATTTTTCGAGAAAGGCCTTTTCTAACCATCATCATCCACTGTTCCAGAGCATAGCCTTTTCCCAAGATATAGTGGGTCCGTGCCGAGCATCGACCCCGCTATTCCCCAAAGGAGATCCCTGATTGACACGAGACGTTTGGCTCCGACTGCTCGTCCGCGCTCCGACTGGTCGACGAGACGTGTGCGTGCGATCGCCGCTCGCGCTCAGTCTCGCGAGACCGCGCGCGAACGCGACCATTGGGCGCAGCGACCTTCAGCGACCATTTGTCTTGGGCAGCTTCGTTGGCGGGTCTTGGGTCATGGCACCAGGATACCGAGCGGTTGGCCTACGAAGGTTCGCGGCCAATGGTGGACCAGGCCGGTTTTGACCCATCCACATAATGGCTGGAACACTCCAAATGCTCTGAGCCGGCGTCGGGGCCAGCGTCGTTTCGGATTCGGATGGGACCCTAGGCCACGAATTGCACGAAGGGAAGGGCCGGAAGTGCCATGGGCAGACTTTGCACCAATGTGCCACCAGTGAAGCTCCCGGTTAGACACGGGATATGGTGCTCAAAAACCGGACCATCACATACACCATCTCATACCACAGCACCGCACCACCTGAAAGCCCACGGAAGGGGCTTTTCGGGTCCGCAGACTGGTCGCCCGGGGTGTCGACGACAGGTGGCTGGCGGTTGCCTGGGGATTTGGTTCGTGTCGCGACATCACTGAGGAATACCAATTCGATGGCTTTCGCTTCGACGGCATTACCTCCATGCTTTACCACTCCCATGGCCCCTCGACCCGACTCCGAGCGGCGGGTTCCGTTCGCAGAGGGCGCGGAAGGACCGCCGGACCGCAGAAGGACGGGTAGCGCTTGGGTGAAAAACACCGCATGCACGCGCTTGAGATCTTGTGAACATGATGTCGTGCAATTGTTTGACATGGTCAGGTTGGTTGGCTTTTGAAGATCATTGGACACACCGCATGACCCACACGCAACAGACAAGCTCTTGGGCATTCAGACAAGGATGCTTTTGGGAGGTTGTTGGGGGGGCTTTCAAGTCCAGTTCGCCCTGGGCGTGTTTGCGAGAACTTCGTCAATCACCCTTCAGGCAGGGGGTTCCGTTCCCATCTTCCTCCCCACATTTCCTGCACTCCACCCACACACCTTGCTCTGACCCGGTGGGGCCAAAAAAGAGTGGGTGGCCGCCGAGGTATTGGCAAAGGCTACACTGGCGGTTACCACGAGTACTTTGGACCCGATGCCGATCCTCGGATCCGCCAACGCCGGGCCGGTGTGTGGTGCGACCGGACCCTTCCGAACGGGTGACGCTCCGAACGGGTCATGCGGTATGGGGCGTGGAACACTGCAGATCTTGTGGTTGGAAAACATGGGTCATCCGAACGAGTCGTAAGGGAGCCACCCGAACTATGGTCAAACATGGTCAAAGGTCCTATCAAAGCAGAGGGCATCGGTGAGGGCCATCCAACGCCTGATGGGCTAAGAAGCCTGACATCCAAAGTCTCTGAGAACCCCGTAGCTGCCCCCAAAAACAGCTCCCCAGCACCAGCTGAAACCGCAGACCTCAGAGCTCCACGGCGGACGGGTCCGCTGTTTCGGGCGCGCCCGCTGGACGGGTGGACCCGTTGGGTGGGACCCATGGGATGAAGCGCTGGAGCTGGAGAGTACTCACTGATGTGCAAAAAACATAACATACTGATATATATTATATATTCTCCATATATATATATATATTCTCCAGGACCCTCCAACAGGTCTCCGATATGGTGGCTTCTCTCTCTCTCTATATCTCTCTCTCTCTATATATATATATATTCTCCAGGACCCGACTCTACAGGTCTCCGATATGGTGGCTGAAATGCAGACTTCAGAGTCGCAGGTGATGACCTGTGAAGTCAGGTGCTGGTTTATATTCGATGATCGATGGGTGTTGGGCTGCACGTGCAGATAGGATCACCTTCAGCTATCTGACCATCTGATATGATTCAAACATCTCTATCTATTAGTATGTCGTATAGTGTACCATCCTGTCTGGGTGTCCTGGCTCCACATCTCGGACAGTAGTCGGCTGGGTAGTCCAGACAGGACACCCAGACAGGATGGTCCTGGTATATAGTACTAATCCACTAATGAGTACCAATGGGTACTCTACTTCTCTGAAGTGGAGTTACACTCACTTGAAAATGCTCATGGAAGTACCCCTGATTGAGAGTCGTTCTTCGTTCGCAATGCACCAAAGGTGGTACTAGTTCTGGACCCCCCCGCGGCCCGTGCAAGGGGGAAACTGACCGCGCCAGTTCAATTCCCCATGTCTTGTGAGAACTTGTTCCCAAAGCCGGCACAGCACATCTTGCACAGAGTTCTCTGCTCTTTTTTTCACCTGTTCCTCGGACTTTCTGCAGCTCAGGACATTGACAGCCACATCTACTTGATGTTGGCCAACGACCTCATCCATTCAGTGGTCCCTTCGGCCGTCACCGTCGCTGAGGCCGGCCGACCGCGCCCGGCAAGCGGTATTACCGCGCGGACAGATGGCCTCGTGGGGTGTGGAAGCGAGCTCTTGTTGGTTTGGAAGCGAAAGAGGAGAGGCCCCACTCAGGAGAGGAGGTACAGCGGAAAGAGAGGAGGCAGCAACTTTTGAGTGCCTCCTCTCTTTTTGCTGTACCAGGAGCCATCCCTCCTCTCTTGAGGGGAGGCACATGCAGGAGAGGGGTGGCTCAAGATGGCCTTGTCACGTTTTGAGTAGGGATTCTTCGTGGCACATCTGTGCCCCGTGTCCGGCAGAAAGGCCCACAGCGCTTCGGCAGCTGTGGCGGACTTCGTCCTCCACTTGCGAAGCCACGTGAAACGCGGAAAACAAGTTTTCTTTTTTAAAGTTCCTTTTTTCCTCCCCCAAATCACCACAGTAAGAGACCAAGCAAATCAGACCGTGCCCACCACGTCACACCGAAACCAAGACCTGGCAGAGCTGGCAGAGCTGGCAATCCATCTGAAGAGAACGGACTAGCAGCCAACACAACTGCAGCCTCCAAAGACTTGTGAGCAACCTAATCTCTCCCCCCACCAGGGTACCAAGCTTGACATCCTTTTATACAGGAATTGATTGACCGGGTTGGGTGTTTTCAGTTCCCAGATTGGTGTTTTCCCTTCCTGTGGTGTTTCCTTTTCCCAGATTGGTTTTTCCGGTTCCCGTGGTGTTTCTGGTTCCCAGGTCTTGGTGTTTCCAGTTCCTGGATTGGTGTTTTTCCTTCCCGCCTTCTGTATTGGTTTTTTTGGTTCCCACTCTTGGTGTTTTCCCTTCCCGGAGTTCTCCCCCCCAGGTCTGTGTGTTTTCAGTTCCTGGATTGCTGTTTTTCCTGTGTTGGTGTTTTTGGTTCCCAGGTTTGGGTGTTTTCAGTCCTGGACAATGTGTTCCCTGCCCGGCTCCTGTGTTGGTGTGCCCTTTCACGTGTTTGTTTGTCAGCTTTCGTTTGAATTTCTGGCTACCATTGCCCACCGCTGGATTTGAAAGCACGTACTCGTGTCACACAAGTAAACAGACAAAGAACACTGCAAAACCGGCAAAGCCATTCGCTGTAAAAACATGTCAGTTTGCGTAAACCCACTGCCGCAAAAACACAAGGTACCCGGTGACACCATCATAACCGCGCACTGTAAGAACACATAGACGAAAGCATACAGAGCTTCATTTTTGGCCATGACGC